TATTCTTCACACTTTCAGGAGTACCAAACACATATAGGGTCTACCCACGAGAAGACAATGGTAACCCAAACTCCGTGTTCAATAAGATAAAGATGTCCATCTACTTTAGGATTTACAGGAAAAGAACTGAAGTTACACTTCCTTACCCATGACTTAGATTCACTAACGGGATGCTTTCCTTTTGGCCCCTGGGTCACTGGTCCTAGGGTGGCTACAGTAGCAGTCATTTTAGGGCATCTCCATGCAGCAGCTGTTTCCCTCACACTGTGTAGAAGAAATGTGTTGCTGGCTGCTATTAATATCCATTCAACAGGTGTGTACATTCCAAGTCGTATGCGTGTACCAGTCTCCCGCACTTCTGAGCAGTGTGCTGAAAGCCACGACAGCTGCTGCCTTGAGCTGGTCCGTTAGTAGGCTCAATTCTTTCCTTGTGTCAGCCAAAGTACTAAATGTTAATGTTTCATATTTGCAACACATTTTTCTGTCTAAATCAAAGTCATGAAGGAGAGATATTTATGATTGGTCTCTGCTTAACAAAGGTGGCAACAGATCACCTTTCTTCCTAGAGAATGTGGCAAAGGCCAAACAAGCTGAGAAGATCAACACTTGGGAGAATGTGGAATCTGGGAGACACTGCCTGCGTCCTGGAGACTATGTGCTAGCCACGTATGTCACTGGGAAATGCACTTCTAAAAACATATGCACAAAACTTACATATACTGCCTGGCGGTGGTAGCACACACCTTAATCCCAGCACTTGGGAGGCAGAGGCATGAGGATCTCTGAGTTCAAGGCCAGAGTGAGTTCCAGGACAGCCAAGGCCACACAGAGAAACCCTGTCTCAAAAAACAAAAACAAACAAACACAACAACATACCTGTACCTAAGCAACAGAAGCCTCGGGTAACTTCCACTCTCTGTCTTGGTGTACCAGAACCTCTAAATCAGTGCCCAGTGCAGCGACTGATGGTCGGATCTACAGTTCAACTCTTCACCGTGGTTGGTAATCAGGAGGTATATGGAAACTAATGCACTATAAAGTCACCCCATCAGGAAGAATTACTCTGCCTGATCACAGCACTGAGATACTGTCACTGTCTAATGGCTTCTGCCTGTTCTGAAATACTGCTGATGCCTACTTCTCCGCTTTGGCCACATCACCAGTCCCTGAAAGAGGCTTTGCTGCTCCAAGTCTGAAAGCATTTCTAGCTCCCAAATTTGTCTTATTTCAAAGAACACAGCAGCTCTCTCAGAAGAGCTCACTTAACCAGGCATGATTCCAACTTTCAATTAATATGCATTTTTAATGTTTGTATAAAATGTTTAATACTGATTGGCTTTACGCTCGTAAACGATGTTAGATAATGCACAAATGTGGCACAAACTCAAATGCGAACCTGTCACTAATAGGTCTTTAAATACATCCTTTTCTCCCACAAAGGTTTTAAGAGGCCTGGAAGTCAAGGCTTGCTTAGGTCAAAAATCTTATCAGATGAGAAAGAGAGGACATGCAACATCTCCCCTGCCTGTTTTTGTTGCTGTTGTTTTAGTTTCAGTACTGTGGGTCAAACCTAAAGCCACACACAAGAAAGCACGCCACCACTGAGCTAAAATTCCAACCCCCTATCCCCCAAGACACACACACACATCTTTTTAAAATCTGGAGACAGGGGCTCACTAAGTTACTCAGGCTGGCTTTGAACTCACAAAGTTGCCCAGGCAAGCCTTGAACCTGTAATCTGTCTACCTCAATCTCTGAAGCAGCTACAATTACAATCTGTACCATCAGGCCTGGTTGCAATGCCCTTTTACCCTGGTTCAGTAAAGCAGCAACCTCCCACTTACACATGTTTTCAATGGTAAATTCTCCCCAGATCATGGTCTACAGGTAAATTTCACTGATGAGAAGATTCAGGCATATGTGACCATGAAACACAGAACTCTGAATATAAAGATGACTAGATCTTAAAATTCAGGATCACATCAGAAATATTACAATCACAATCTTGTATTTTACCCAATGGAAAAAAAGACTTAAGTTTGTATAAGCTAAAAGTTTGCTTAAACTCTTGAAGATCTAACAACAAATGAAGCCTATTTCACTTATCTGCTTTAAGTCTTTTCTTTTAAACAAACAAACAAAATGCTCAGGGAAAATTTTAGCACCCAAGCTTTCTGGGGTAACCTTAGCTTCTTTACAAATTCAATAACAATTGAGCAAATATGTGCTATACGCTAGCTAAATAGGTAGAAAATAACAAAATCTTATGGAAACTCCTGTCTTCACAGAGGTTAACTCTAAGATAAGGTATAAGGTTAGCGCTATGGAGAGGAACTAAAATCCAGGAAGAGACAGGGAGTGTGGCCTAGGGCTCAGCTTTTATAAGGTGGTCACAAAGACCGGGGAGCTGGCTCAGTTGGTAAGAACTCTGCTGCACACGTCTGAGGACCCGAGTTCAAATGTCTAGCATCCACATCAAAAGGCGAGGCATGGCCATGCATGCCTGTAGCCCCAACACTGGGGAGCAGAGACAGTTGGACCTCAGGAACTCAGCCAGACGGCCTATGTGAAACAGCAAGCTCCGGGTTCAGTAAGAGACTCGGTCTCAATGGAACAAGGAGGACAGTGACAGAGCAGGACACCCACTATCCTAGCCTCTGTGCAAGTGCACAAACGTGCAAGGCCAAGCACATACACGCACACATCGACACATACAAAGACAGTCCACTCAGTGAAGGCCACAAGGAGGATATGTGAGCACAAACCCAAAGGTGGAGGTGGTAGACAGAACCCGGAAAGGGACAGCCAGGGAGGGAAATCTGCTAGACACGGGGAACAAGTGCATAGCTCGGCGGTGGACGCATGCCTGGCATTCTGGCCTCATTTTGAGCTGTGATCATTTGAAATAATGCCTATTTCTTGCTGTTGAAATTCCTGGGAGGCCAGGAACCCTGGTGTCATAAAGATTGCAGACACAGTTCAGACAGTGCTGTCACTTCAAAGGAGAGTTTTGTGGTATGATGCTAAAAGGACGACTTGCTCAGCTTGCTCCTCTTCTCCCTACACCTCAAAACACCCAACTTCCAAAAACTAGCTTACGCTGACAAAAAAGAAAAGAAAAACACTTGGGTGAAAGGGCCTATTGTAAGGAAATCAAACTGTTAGGCTGCATAGCAACTCATCAGGAACCACCTGGAAAAGTTTGTATCGAGCACTTAGTAGTTAGGGTTAGAGCTGGGTATAGTAGGACAATGTTAATTCCAGAACTCAAGAAATGGAGGCAATAGCTCAAAGGTTCAAGGCCAACCTGGGATACTTAGCCAGTTCAAGGCCACACTGAGTTACACTGAGCTACACAGCAGGCTACTGCCAAGAGATAGATAGATAGATAGATAGATAGATAGATAGATAGATAGATAGATA